AAATTTAATAATGCATAATGCAAGAGCTAAATCTATATATTGTACGTAGGTTAAGTAGGTATTTCTTGAGACTGTAAATGTTAAATTTTTTTATAAGACATTTTAATGTATTAACTTGCTAAGTCTATAATCAAGTCTCAATGCCATCGGGTACTCGAGATGTTCACAGATTCAAACACTGGCGGTTAATGTTAATGATTTAATTTAATTGAAAAATGGATAATCAAGACTCTAATTATATACATACATAGGCCTATAACATTAAATAACAAGTTTGCCCGTACATACTTGTACATAAAGGTTTCAGTCCTACTCCCCTGCTTATTTTTTTCTTGTGGTGGCCAAGAAAGTTCATCAGGATTTTCTGGCATGGTTCCTCTTTTAACTGGTGCAAGACAGAGGGGCTGGTAAGGGCTAATGTACACACGGTCCAGTCAAAATTTCCATCACAGCACACTTTCAAGCATTTGTCCAACTTCTTTAGCCCAGTTTGAGCAGAAAAGTATGATGTTGAACCCCATTTCATTACAGATCCACAGTAGGTTGGCTGTCAGCCCAGTTGGAGCTGAACAGTAGGCCGTTTAACCCAATTACGTTTTTTTGGGGGAGTATAAAGTTGCTTTTTATTTATTTTTTTTTTTTTTTACAGATCCTACATGTATATTTGAGCACCCTTGGTGGCAGTAATGACAAAGAAGTTCTAAAAAGATTTATATGGGCTTTATAATGAAAGTTAGACAACACTACTACTTGCCAAACACTACTGCTTGTCACATAATGTAATGATATAAATAAATATGTATCTATGGTAGCACAAATATCATCAGAATGTAGGCCAAAGCTTTACAAGCATTGTAGGCCTAAAATACTTTCTGTCTGAACTTTTGACAGTCAATTCTTTGATGACTAGTTAGTTTAGAGCAGATATCCTGTCACAGTATTATATAACAGCTCTTTGGCTTAAAGTTTAAACTGAGTTGTATCAGTGAGTTGAAAATCATCTGTGTTCCTGTTATTGCTCCCTGCTGCAGCCAGTAAACAATAACCTTTTGCGTTCCTTACAAATCTTCCAATTTTTACTGATAGATCAACCATAGCAAAGATCTCTATTAAGATTATATTTGTAATGTGTGTAACAAATTCTATGACATAGGTATAATATTGGTGTAGTTAAGTATATACCATATTTATGCACACATTTCAATGTTGGCATATTATTAGTCTCTATCATCTAGAAAAAAATATTCTATATTCTACGAATATTAGTGTGGTTGCGTTGTCAACATTTGAGAATAATCGGTCATAGGCTAGATTATCCGGTCTTTTACATTATCATAAACAAAGTCTAAGGGAGGTAACTAGTCCTAAAACAAGATGTTGACGCCATGAAATTTATATAAGAATGCCATTTCCGAAAGTCCATTTGATTGCATTGTCAGTTCAATATCCAACACTCTTAATTTTTTTTTTATTGTAAAATTTCTCTCTTCATGGGCCATATCTATGGTTTTTTTTTTATTGAATCCTAATTCGTCATCACGATTCATGTTTGTTTATAAATGCAAGTGTTATTGACAACTGTCCCAGACCCTCATTATTTATATGGCCTAACTTTTCTTCGGCGTACACCGGCACGGTATTAGACTAGGATAACAGTCCCGAAACTCGTGGAGTTGAAAAACATTAGTCTTATATACCGCCTCTACTTAATTATGGATGTAGGTCGGAAAAATGTAAAATTTGGCAATTTGACTTATACTCAACATCGACTTATACCCTGTATGGTAATGTGATGATGCCCCCTCTTCCAGACAAGACATAGGCTATAACTGTTTCAAATGACAAGTGCTAAATGAAGTATTTATGTGGTCTTTGGTGAAAGAAATGAAATGAAATGAAATGGGGTTTAACGTCCTACTGTTCTGCTCCTAACCTGGGCTAATGAAGACGAGCATATGCCATACAGTGTGCTATGAGGGAAATTTTGCCTGGGCAGCGGGGCTACGGCCTACTCTTATATCGAATTCCAACTGCCAAGGGATCTTTTACGTGCACGCCAATGTCTACACGGGACCTCAGTTTTTCGTCCCATAACGACTAGACAGCTTTCCTTGTCAGTCTCTCCGTCCTGCATCACTGACAAGGGAAACCACGCCGGAAAATCAGGATGAACTTACAGGGATCGAACACCCGATCTCCAGGCTAGCGAGCCAGCGTCTTACCCACTTAGCCACTTGATCCCCCCCTTTGGTGAAAGAGAGAGAGAAATGGGGTTTACCGTCTACTCGACACAAACTAGGTCATTTCGGGACTAACATATGGTTTAATATTTTATTTACATAATTCGCTTGCGCGTAGGGGTCATTCAGCCATCCCCCCACCTTTGGTGAAAGAAAACAGAGCTGTGGCTAGTGAAATGAAAGTTTAACGTCCTACTGTTTTGCTCTGAGCTGGGCCAATGAAGATGGGCATACGCCATACAGTGTGCTATGAGGGAAATTTTGCCCGGACAGTGGCACTACTGCCTTCTCTTATATCGAATTCTAATTTCAAGGGCTCTTGTATGTGCACGCCAATGTGTACATGGGACCTCATTTTTTTGTCCCATTTTAATGACTAGACAGCTGTCTTGTCTAGCCCTCTGTCCTGCATCACTGACAAGGGAGAACCATGCCGGAAAATCTGGAATAACTTTCTCGGCCAATGCAGGGATCGAACACCCGACCTCCAGACTAGATAGCCAGTGTCTTACCGACTTAACCAACGTGATCCCCGTTGTGGCTACAATTCCTGGATTTGAAGGTCAGGTATGATATGAAACAAATATTTTGAACCGGTTCACCAATGCAACCAATCCGTGACGGGTTAACTGATAGAGGGTTACATCCTTGATATAAATATACTTGTCGCGGGTTTTAAAAATAGAAATATATATATAAAGGTAGCTCAAAATTCATCTCTACATGTACACACTGGAATCATGAGAGGACGAAACCTATCAATATTCAGCATTCCACAACATTCCATTCCAGTGTCGGCCGAGAAAGTTCTTCGTGATTTCCAGACTTGGTTTCCTCCCCTTGTCAGAGGTGCAGGACAGAGGGCCTGACAAGGAGGGACAGCTGTCTAGTCGTTTGGATGGTACGAATGACCAAGGTCCTGTGCACACATTGGTGTGCACGTGAAAGATCCCTTGGCAGTTTGAATTCGATATAAGAGTAGGCTTTAGCGCCACTGTCTGGATAAAATTCCATAATAGGACACTGTATAGCATATTTCCATGTCATTAGCCCTGTCGGAAAAGGACATTAAACCCCATTTCATTTCACTCATTCCAAAGTTAACTCCTATTCCATCAATACCTTGAGCAAATAAGATAGAGGCTATAGGTTTTGGCCAAATTTGGTCAATATCCCAGTTTTTTCTTTCTTATATGCATATCAACACTTTCATAGCGCTAATGTAAACCTTTTTCTTGAACATTTTCCCTTGTCAGTGATGCCTGACAGAGGACCTGACATGGATGGCTGACTAGTCATAAGGAAGGGACAAAAAAAAAACCAAGGTACAGTGTAAACTCAAGTGTGTGTGTGTGAAAGATCCCTTGGCAGTTGAAATTTTATATAAGAGTACGCCATAGCTCTGCACACTGTGTGGCATATGCCCGTCTTCATTTCTCAAACAGCTGTGGATAAAAACTGTTAATATTTAAATGTGTATTTTGTATTTTATAACATTATATTTTTGTCTTTTAAATAAAGTATATGTATACATACTTGTAGTATATTTTGTCATATAATTCTGCTAGATTTTTAACTTTTCTGTGCAATACATTTAGAATTCTGACTGGTTATGGGTAGATAGAGAGCAATGGGGTAAAACATCCAATAGACATAAACTGTCCTTTGGGACTAAGTGATTCAATTCAAGTTGAATAATTCATCCGCACCAGGAATCTTTAGTAGTAGGAGGACCCAGAGAAAACCCATGTTCAAGTTGACTCAATGACAGACTTTATGATCTAAAGCGCACACGTTGGACCACTCAACTTTTAGCCTCACCCACGGGTCAGGAAAATTTGATTATTGATTGAATGTACTTCCCATTTACTGCCGCAAATAATGAATAATTTTGAAGGTTTTAATGGTTGGTTATATTTTCGTAACTTTGCTCATCAAAATTTGACATTAGAATTGCATCCGTAAATGATGTTAATTTAATGTTAGATTTACGTTATAATGGTCGGTTAGATATCCATCATTTTGCTCATCCTTTTAACGACAATTTAACGTCAGGAAATGACGTTAATCTAGCGTAAAGTTTACGTCATTTTTACGTTATATTTACATCATTTTCTGACGTAAATCTAACGTAAAGTTTACGTCATTTTCTGACGTAAATCTACTGAAAATGACGTAAACTTTACGCAAATTTTACGTTAGATTTACGTCAGAAAATGACGTAAACTTTACGTTAGATTTACGTCAGAAAATGACGTAAATATAACGTAAAAATGACGTAAAGTTTACGTTAGATTAACGTCACAAATGACGTAAACTTTACGTTAAATTTACGTCAGAAAATGACGTAAATATAACGTAAAAATGACGTAAAGTTTACGTTAGATTAACGTCACAAAATGACGTAAAATTATCGTTAAAAAGATGAGCAAAATGATGGTAAACTGACTGACTATTTTTACGTAAATGTAACGTAAAATTAACATCATATTGTTATGTGGGAAGAGTTCTTTTCCAATCGTTAGAAGTCAGTTTGGGATTCATTTCGGAGACATTTGGGTCCCTAAATCTGTATTATTAAGTTATTAAATGTAGCGGGACTGGGTTGGACATTCTCGTAATTCATCTAAAATTAAAGAATACACCAAGACGTTAAGAGGGTGGGGTGTAGGGATGGTTTCTAACCGTACAAAAATACACGTCTCAACAGTCTGAAAATATACTACTACTACTACTACTACTATAGCTTTAATCTTCCAGTACTAGTTGACGGTGGATGGAGTGCTTGGTCAATCACTCCCTGCTCTGCTACATGTGGCCAGGGAACTAGAAGACGGTTCCGATATTGTAATAATCCTGCTCCTGCTAATAATGGAAAGAACTGTATCGGCGATATTATGGACAGCGAGACATGTGCTGCACAATCTTGCTCTGCTTTGTATGAAACAAGTAAGTCAAATCTTTACAAGTAGTAGTTTCTGTGGCGAAAGAAAGTTACCAAAGATTTGATTTTCTTAAAGAACATTGAACCGAGACAGGGTTGTTGCATAATATTATAAATATAGTTTTCAAGATTTATTTCACCCGGAGCACGATAGTAATGAATCCTATCTATGCATCTTATTTAAAAGGATTTAATTTTAGACAGCCAATTTACGAAAAAAGAGGGACTACACGGAAGAAATGCAAGAAAGGATTTTTGATGGTTTCTTGTTGTGTTGGGTGTACAGAAAAGGAAGGTTTTTAAAAACATTTTCCTTTAAAAGTTGAAACTTCAGACACGCTCAAAATCTTCAATTACCCCAAAAAGGGAACCGTGGTGGCCCAGGGAGTAAGACACTGACTCACTATCCATGAGGTCTCGGCTTCGCTACCGGTGTCTAGTCGTGCGTATGTCACAAAACACTGAGGTTCCAGGTGTACATAGGCATGCACGTAAAAGAACACCTGGTGGCCCAGGGAGTAAGACACTGACTCGCTATCCATGAGGTCTCGGCTTCGCTACCGGTGTCTAGTCGTGCGTATGTCACAAAACACTGAGGTTCCGTGTGCACATGAGGTCTCGGCTTCGCTACCGGTGTCTAGTCGTGCGTATGTCACAAAACACTGAGGTTCCGTGTGTACATAGGCATGCACGTAAAAGAAAACCGTGGTGGCCCAGGGAGTAAGACACTGACTCGCTATCCAGGAGGTCTCGGCTTCGCTACCGGTGTCTAATCGTGCGTATGTCACAAAACACTCAGGTTCCGTGTGTACATAGGCATGCACGTAAAAGAACACCTGTCCGTTTGAAATTTGATAGAAGAGTAGGCCATAACGCCGCTGTCCAGGCAAAATTTCCCTCATAGCACACTGCATGCTATGAACGTCTTCATTAGGCCAGTTGGGGTAGAACAATAGGGCGTTAAACCCCATTTCATTTTCTTATATGTTCAAAAAACATTTATAGGGTCTTAAACCAACCATTTAGGATTTTATTGTTCATTGGTTTAGATAAGTTTGGCCACCTTGAATTTTTACCCATTGTTATAGCTTTAATAGAAAGTGCAGGGGGACTGCACTACACACAATTACACAAAACAAATCTACGGACAAGACACAATACGCAGAAATCACACAAAAAAATCGTACATATCAGGACCAATTGACACCACCAGGATTATCTTCTAATGAAATAAACGCAAAACCGCATACACACGTTTTCTTTTATTTTCTAGCGATAAAATCGTAAATTGGCTGGTCTGTTGTGTCAATTACCTTTGCAAACCCCAAAGATATAAACAAATGATATGATATTACATTCAAATATACTATTCAAAAAAAGTAGGAGGTATTTGATTTTTAAGTGTTATTAAAGTCACCTAATGAAACTGACGAAGAAACAAATGACAAAATGAAATGAAGTTCACATTCATCGATTTATTCCAAATGATCGTTAGACTAAGTAAGGCACAGACTGACCAGTATAAGGGTAAAATGATACCCGGGGTCAAACAGCAAAGTTACCACAGCATCACAACCAAGTCAGTAACGGGTAAATCCTCCTCTGTTTGCCAAACAAGCATTGATCCGACGTGGCATACTCCTAATGAGACGTCTAAGGTCATTTTGGTCCAGATTGTCCCATTCCTGTTGCAACGCAGCAGCAAGTTCTTGGACATTGGCAGGACGTTGTTGACGTTGACGTAACCTCTGTCCAAGCATGTCCCAGACATGCGCGATGGGGGAGAGGTCGGGACTCAGTGCTGGCCAAGGTAATGTGGTGATGTTCTGTTGTTGGAGGTAACCTGTAACGATCCTGGCCCTGTGACATCTTGCGTTGTCATCCTGGAAGATGAAACGGCGGCCATGACGTCGTGCGAACGGCACAACATGGACTGCCAAGATGTTGTCCCGGTAGTACTGGCCTGTAACACGCCCTGCAACAACATGTAAAGCCGTTCTTCCAGCAACAGTGATGCCTCCCCACACCATAACAGAACCACCCCCAAATCGATCATGTCTGATGACGTTAACGTCTTGGAAGCGCTCGTTTCGACGACGCCACACCCTCCTACGTCTGTCCAAAAAATCAACAGTGAACCTTGACTCATCTGAAAACATCACATTGCTCCAGCGTCGATTATCCCAGTGTTGACGATCCCTACACCAACGACGTCTTGCCTGAATGTGATGATCTCTCAAACAAGGGATCACGCGAGGACGTCGGGCGTGAAGGTGACCCCTATGCAGTCGATTCCGAATCGTCTGGCCACTCACTCTCACACCAGTGTCTGTTTGAAGACGAGCGCTGATCTGATTTGCTGTGATGACACGATTTCTCAAGGCCAAGGTACGGATAAATCGATCCTGGGCTTGAGTTGTCGCCCTTGGTCGACCTGAGCGTGGTCTGTCCTGTACAGATTGTGTATCACGGTATCTGGACCATAGCCTGCTTATGACAGACTGAGAAACAATCATCGTCTGCGCCACAACCGCCTGTGTTGTGCCGATCTGTAGCATGCCAAGGGCACGTAACCTTTCATTTTGGGTAAGCCGACGCATATCAAAATTTGTTTTCTGGTCACTAAAACAATTAAACTGATGTTTCCACCCCGGAATTCAATGCCACAATGACTGTAACATTCAAAGTCAGAGTCGTGCAAATCTTGGGTTGGACCCCCATGATGATCCCAAGCATCACCTGCATTCCATGCGGTAGCTATTGGTGCGTTTGGGCGTCATATGTAACTGGAAATGTTTCTTCTGTTAGGTTCTATAGTGACTTTTTTCGTAGTCATTTGCATATTTTAGTATTATGCCCCCAAAATCAAATATCCCCTACTTTTTTTGAATAGTATATATTATTTTCAAATATATAATAATCTTAATAATGCCAATGATATTGATAACACGCTGTATATCAAATATTTAAGTACATAAATATTACAGCTAGAGTTAACGGTGGTTGGGGTACCTGGTCAAACACTAGTTGTTCCGTTACATGTGGCGTAGGAATTAGAACACGGTTCAGACACTGTGATAATCCATATCCAGCTAATGGTGGAACTGACTGTAATGGTGAACTTTCTGAGGACACTGATTGTAACCTAGAAGAATGTCACGGTTAGTATTTAAACATCAGCATTTAATTTGGCTTCTAATATAGGTTATAATCAAAATCTCTAGATCATCGGATCATGAGGGAGATTTAAACGAATTAAAACACGATCAACATTTAATGATTTAATTTAAAAATGGCGAATCAAGGCGGCTAAGTCTCGAATAACAAGTACCATTGTTACGATAATAAACAAGTTATGCTGCATCTTGTCAAATCTTTTCTTACCTATTATAGCAAAATTTTCGTTAAATTATTAAGCGACGAGGATGTTCTAATCCAGTCAATATTAACTATCCGTTGACCTAGAGAGATGAAAGCTGACTTTTCATGTGAACAGATATCTAAACTAGAAAAAGACCTGCAAATAGGCAGATTTAGTTGTCGCATAATGAATCTTTAACCTCATGACATTAAGATTTCTTTACAGACAATAACAAATTAACAGTATTTGTGTTTACAAGGTACATTAGCGACGGTTAGTTGACTCGAACAGACTTAGATTTGCAAACGACGGTCATACGCCATACAGTGGGCTATCAGGGAAATGTTGCCAGGACAACGGAACCACGGCCTACTCTCAAGGATCTCTTACGTGTACGCAAATGTATACACGGGTCTTCGGTTTTTCGGGCCACCTGAACGACTATACCTTGACACTTTCCAGGCCCTCTGTCCTGCACCACTGACAAGGGAGAACCACGTCGAAAAATCCCGATGAACTAATGTTTATCAACATTACTCTGTGTATTTCAATTGTCTTTTGAAATAAGTATGTGTATTATATAATAGACCAATTGTAGTTTGAAATAACTATGTGCATTATATAATCGATCAATATTAGTTTGAAATAACTATATAGTAGATCAATATTAGTACGAAATAAGTATTTGTAATATATAGTAAATCAATTTTAGTATGAAATAACTATGTGTATCATATAGTAGATCAATATTAGTATGAAATAGTTATTTGTATCATATAGTAGATCAATTAGAGTATTATATACGTATGTGTAGTATATAGTAGATCAATATTAGTATGAAATAACTGTGTGTTTCTGTGGCGCACTGGGTCTGAAAATATTAGTTATGGTCCTTGATCGCTTTGAACAATCTTGTGGAGGCTCTAGAGGGAAAACGATTTCTGATAATTACTGCCAGAGGTATGGCCCTTGATCACTTTGAACCATCTTGCGGATGCTTTACAGACCATAGTTAGCATCTGATTGATGTTATATTTATACACCTTGTTCACGTCTATACGTAATCGTTTCGATTAATTGATACACAGAGTTTAAGGTCTTAAGACGAACAAGTATTTTGATTTTCGATGATTTTTGATAACTTGAACAGCTAAATCCATGATATTAAGTGTTTTGTATACTCAACGTTAGCATGGGTCAAACAAATTCTAATGGTTTTCTGATAATTACTTATTGAGTTGTTACTCTTAATCAGATTTTAGTGTATTATAAATGTTTCATTACCGACAAAAGTAAAAATTTGCGACAACTCTTGTTGGCGGCCCGGACGATTTGGCTGCTTTGGGCGTATGTTTCGTTGCCTGGCAACCCATCTTTATATATTTTAAGTATATGAATATTAGTGCGTATTAACTGTGTATATTTGATAGGGACCAGTCTGAATATTCTACCATGGATTTTATTTGCTGTATGCTTTTTGCTCGTCATAGTAGGTATTACATGGTAAGTTCTTTATTAAGTATTGTTTAATGGTCGAGAGCGAGACAATAAGTAATATATTGTAACAAGAAGAGGGCCGCGAGGCCCGAGTGTTTTTACAATATATTACGCAATGTCTTAAGCTCGAGACCATTAAACAACTTAAAATACAGAAACACTTGCACGGGCTTTGCAATGAAATACGTCACTCGGGTTCAATATTTTAACTAGTTACACTTGGCACATTGCCCGTACGATTATTTGAAGCAATGGTACGCCAACATCAAAGGATGACGTCACATCTGTATTTTAAAAGTTTATAATACATATCCTTAAGCAAATAGGGAGGGGGGGGTGATAGACGAATGGTTAGCGTGTGCGCGCTGTATCATAAGGTCTGTCATTGAGTCAACTGGCGTGATTTCGATTCCTCTGTTGTACGTGAAAAGGAGTAGGGTCGCCTGTCCAACCTCGTGGGTTTCCTCCGGGTCCTCCGGTTTCCTCTCACTGCTAAAGCTAAAGATCCCTACGCGCAAGCGGATTATTGAAATAAAATTAAACCATATGTTAGCCCCGAAATGACCTAGTTTGTGTCGAGTGGACGTTAAACCCCATCTCTCTCTCTCTCTCTTAAGCAAATAACATCTAACGTTTTTCTGTAAAAGTATGACGGCTAAAAATTCCGAACTTACATACAAAGATTATTTGCTTTTTCAAAATTATACCTTAAAGGCTCAATACCACTCTTGTTTTAACTGAATAATATGTCCCAATCTTTATTCTGGCCAACAAAATGTACTATTTTACAATATTCCAATTAATTGATGATATAAATTTCATCTTAACACACCTAATTTAAAAAATTGGAAAAATTCAACTAAATGATTTGAAAAGCCTGACGTAAAGCTTTACAAATGTGACTTGGATTTAACAATATTTTTTAACCCTTTGGACAAGTAAAATAGGATTTAATGGATAATTTACACAACAGGTAGGACACATCTAGTACTTAGAATAAGGCTATTTTTTTTTATTTTCTGGAGCTGTCAAGCCAGCAAGAGTGTTATTGTCCCTTTGAATACACCAATATTGATGCTGTTATTAACATACAAACCTTATTAAACTCAGCCATGACTTAAAGAAAATTATTGTTTATGGGTTTTATCATCTACTTTTCTGCACCAGCTGCTGAAGTGAAAATTAATTAACAGGATATGTAGTTTATGATTACATTAGATTACATTGTTCCGATAACAGCTGCATTGAAATTTCTGTAGATAAATATAGACCTAACCCCTAAAAGACAGAAAACGTTATTAAAAAGAAAAAAACTGCTGCTCTCGAAATTCGCGTAAGATGACAGAAATATCGATTGTTAACAAGAAGTTAAAATTAGCATGTCAAATACATCAAAAATGCAAACATTTTTCAGTGCAATTATTTAACAAATCACAATGCACAATACACGCATGACATAGGGGATATTGAAGTAGGGGATATTGAAATGCAAATACCTATGCAGGTTGTGATATGATAAATAGTCATGGACACTTAACATGCTTTGAGAGTATGTTCACAGATGAAGAACTTATCGCCCCAACAGAACAACTGAGCTGAACATGCGACACGCAATAGCGCCATACACGTGGGAGGGGTTCATTGTCAAATTTGACACTTCAAGGAAGGGTTATGACAACTGCCGCGTGCTGGTTTATCCTATCCATGTATGCTTTCCTACCGGTTCTTGCATAAGATTTACTGTTTTAGCGTATCTTTGCTTTAGTGTGTTACGTTTAATTTGCAATGAGACGTCTTCAACATGATGAACGTCTACGTGCTATTGGCATGCTTCAAAGGTGTTCTACACAGCGAGCAGTAGCCAACATGCTTAATGAATAATGTGTCACAGTCTGTGATCAGCAGAATGTGGAACCAGTACCAACAAACACACAATGTTTAGGTCGTCCTAGAGCCACCACACAAGCCCATGATCGATACATTCGTACACAGGTCCTGCGAAATCGAGGACAAACGGTCAATCAGCTTTCTGTAAACTTTACCAAGTTACAAGAATTCGAGTTACACCCCAAACGATTAGAAATCGGCTACATGCAGCCCATTTGCATGCGCGACGACCGCGTGTTGTGTCTCCATTAACTCGCCAGCATATGGCAAGCAGGCGTCAATGGAGTAGGCAGCGTAGAAATTGAGGTAATCGTCGATGGGCGCGTGTAATGTTCTCAGATGAGTCCAGATTTACTCTGCATTTCACCGATAGGCGTGCTTGCGTTTGGAGGCGGGACATGAGCGTCATGCTAACGTTAACGTCAGACAGGATGACAGATTCGGCCGTGGGTCTGCTATGGTGTGGGGAGGAATCACCATGACTGGCAGAACGGACTAGCATATTGTTCAAGGAAGGGTCACTGGTGTGTACTACCGTGACCACATCCTGGCACCGATAGTTCTGCCCTTTGTTCAACGCGCAGGTCGACGTTTCATCTTTCAAGATGATAATGCCCGTGCCCACCGCGCTAGTGTCGAGAATGACTACCTCCAGCGTAACCATATTGTCTATATGCCTTGGCCAGACATGAGTCCTGATCTTTCACCTATAGAGCATGCTTGGGACATGATCGGGAGACGTGTTCGTCGACGTAAACGTTAACCGACAACATTGCAAGAATTGGCCGTGGCACTGCAAAGAGGAGTGGGTCAGATTGCCCCAAATCGTGATTGGACTGTTGATCGGGAGCATGCCACGACGAATTACTGAATGTCTAAGGATTGGAAGAGCAATTACTCATTATTAAGACAAAAATCAAAAAAGTCCATTTTCACTTTTGACAGGGTATCTCTGCGAGTGAAATGGGGCCGTCAGATAAGCCGCCCATATGAACTGTTTATGTTCATGTGTAGGCAATTGGCCTGTTATTAACATACACTGGTTACCTCTAATAAAAACAGCAGTGCATTTCCGCAGTTTTGTATTGTTTCTGAATATCCCCTAAGTTTTCTTTTTAAAGAGTATATAACCTTTAACACATGACACAATTATATGGAATACAAGTTACTTAAAGAGTTTATTACAGCGACGTTTCGACGAGGATTCTCCCGTCTTTATCAAGCAAAGTTTTCAGATTTTTTTTACAATTCTTAAACATATTCATTAATCTGGATTTTTTAAAGACAATTTATGTATATCAAATTTTGTTAAAACCATGCATTCAACTTTTTTTAAATGCCTAATTGATTTGTACCGGATAATCTCATGTTATTTCACAATATGGCTTCTCTATATGGTCCCTTAGTAGGTTCGTTCTGTGAAAGCATAGTCACCGACCAATCTAGCTGCCTTTATTACCATGTTTTCTTTGTACATAGTTCACTAGACCCACCCTTATGGCTTCCGGTAGCTACAACCATAGACATCTTCTTATATTTCTTTCGTATATGAGCACTCATTGCAATTTTTAGTAAGAATGTAGGCCTACAAGCGAAAATAACCAAACACCTGTAGGCCTACCCCATATAAATTCTGGAAAATTTTGGCTTAATTGATAAACCAATATTATACAAAAGGAAATAAAATCGAAATCACCAAGCTTCAGCCTACTCTGCCTTACCGAATTCTCCTGTATAAGGCAAGTTATCGTCCTGTATGAAGCTTCCATATTAATTACTCTACTATATGACTAAACAGACCGTGCTATTTACTTTAAGTTGTCACAATTTGACATCTTAGTCATCTTTCGTTTTCGTTAAATGGCACTATCTCACTCTGTCATATAAATAAAATACCTATACACCCACTGAAATATGTCCAACAGTAAAATAGAAATCCATTAAAAACATTTAAACACTAACTCAAGTTTTACCCGTTTGTTTTACCGCTATTTATTCACTGTAATTAACACTCACCTCTAACATTAACATGGCCATCATAACATCCCACAATTCCCTATGCACGTTCTTTTTGTGCTGGGAAACATCACACTCTCTTTCAACCAGACGCTTTTCCACTATAGACTTCAAATATATTTTCAGCTGTATATAAGAAAGTAGCTATAATATAGGAACTTTAATTGTATTCTGTATTATATTACCGTTTGTATATATCATCTCATATTGACTTTGTATATAACAATTGTAAATAAAAAAAAAATAAAAAAAAAAAAGAATCCTCGTCGAAACGTCGCTGTAATAAACTCTTTAAGTAACTTGTATTCCATACAATTGTGTCATGTGTTATTCTCATCCAGTTACTAAATGCCACTAAAACAATTCAATAACCTTTATTGAATGGGTTGTTTAAAATTACTATTATTAAAAACATGTATATATAACCAAACAAATACATCGGCTGTTGTTAATTTACAGAGACAATTTATCTGTGAATTAAATATTTTAATATATATAAAGCAAAGAAAATTATCTGTGAATGAAAGATATCAGATTTTGAATGACAATGAATGTTTTTCTTAATGGTGATCATTAGCAAAAACCTGGAACACAAATATATAAAACAAATCGGCTCTACTCGTAGTATCAAAAGACGTTTATTTAAATATTAAGTAAAACATGGCGGTCGTACTCTATGTATATAGATACCTCATTGGATTTCTTTCTAATTATAGGGCTATAATAAGGCTTGTGCGAAGACGACGGGAAAAGAAATCGCCGAATCTTGTTTCTGATCCACAAAATACCAATAACACCTCATCAACATCAGATACTGTATATTATGTTAATGCCGCTACTATTAATTCGTTGAACCAGAGTGCAAATAATGAAAGTCACTATGATACTTTATCACAAAGGGCTAACATTGAGGAGGCTAATTATACTTCACTGACATAACAAAAGGGTAATAACAAATCCAAATCGAAATTCAATTTCAATCTGATCATCGTAAATTGAATTCTGAAAACGTGAAAAATGTAAATGTAATTGTTATTAGGGACCTTTCGCATCGTTACGAAAACGAATACGAAAACGTCACCGATTCGAGTCTACGTGTGATTTCAACCCGTACACGAGTGTGGAGCTGGACTCGAGTAGGTATGGAAACAAAAATGTTTCTTGTCTCATATATTGAATTTTCCACAATATTTCGAGGCCTTGTGTATATTGTTGATCGTGTAGATTGTGTAGAACGTGCTCAAATGCAATATTCTGCTTGATTCGTTGTACATCCGCCAAAAATCGATTGAAAACTTTGCCTGGACCGATAGGTTCATAGAGTGACAATTTCAGTTCAAGTTGTATAGGCTAATACTTTTTTTTTTTTAAAAAAATATCGAATATATCTATTTCTAAATAATCAGTTTATGAAAAATAACTGGAAATAGTTGGCATTTATTAGATAATGTCTTTCATCATCCGAATAGAAATAAGTCACAATTCTTTTCCCTATCGATTCACAGAATTTCAGGTGACTCAAACACAATTGGTTTATTTAATTAAAAGGCTGTACTATGTAAGCTTCTAGGCCTAATTTTAAAGATGAGAGCCCAATTCTCTTATTCATTTTAACTGTTATTGTACGTTAGATTACGAAACAGTATCTTAGAGGATACGAAAACGTAACAAATGTTCGTTTTCGTACCGATGCGAAAGGTCCCTTATATTATGATCTATGGTTAAGATTCCAGTTTTAAATTTTACACCTCAGTAGGCGTATACCAAATTGATGGTAATCTTTTAAGGAGCTTCAAATGAGGTGGGGGCTAGATTGTCAGTCTTATCTCAACAGAGTAGAGAGACATCTTTGTAATATTCTTTTAGATTGTCAGTCTTATCTCAACAGAGTAGAGACGGTATCGCTGTAATATCATTTTGTTTATGAATGTAAATAAATCTGACCTTTGGCGAGAATTGATTTTTACTTCATAATAATGAGACCAGTCAGTCACCCAGCTTGCTACTTTTGCTGTAGATAGGAGTATTCAGAGGGCAATGTTCCCGAGAAGATGATGTAATACCAACCACTTCTACGACCCTCATATATCCATTGATCTTTACAAAATGTGGATTTGAACATTTACTTTCATTTCTTCTGAACTTTTGATAAACATTATATGCTGTTCTCGATGTTACATTTTTAAAATTTTGTAATCTTTTCCAGTTTTAGATATTGATATTGAAGACATCGGCTTTTTATTCATGAATAACTGAAATTTGTGTTTCTGATAAAAATTAAAACATTTTCAGATATACCCGTTTAATCGTTGTAAAAGTAACTTTAACACTATGTACATGTCTTGAATAACAAATATATTATAATTCATATTACGTTCCCGTTTTACGTTTGTAATGACAACTTTACATTTTAAAATGATTAAGAGCTAGAATTATATATTTTATTTTTGCTACAAAGTAGTCAGTATATTTTACAATGATTAAGAGCTATAAATATATATTTTAATTTTGCTAATATATCAGTATATTTTACAATGATTACGAGTTATACCATTAAAGTTTATGTTTGTTATTTTATGTTTATTAATATTCTAGTACATTTTTCTATGATTTATGATAATTGAATAGTTATAATATAATTTATGACTATATATTTTATGTTTGTTAATACCAGTATGTTTTTGTATGATTTATGTTTGTTTCTTTTATACTAGTATATTATTGTATGATTTATGGTAGTGCTTATAAACAATAGGTTTGTCGTTAAATTAATTATATTTCTCTTTAGTTCTCACTTCATCATACCACGGTAAGTTAATAAGAACGACAATAACCCTATGAAATAATACAAAAAATAATGTAGTAAATGATAATTCGTTTGAGTATTCAAATGGTAGTAATCCTTTTATTTGTTCAATCAAATTATTTATAGCTGGTGGCCTATGTTTGTAATTATAGCTATATAACCGGGACTCGGTTATGGAGTCCGAAGAGATCTTCATATCTCATTTGGCAGAGGCAAATAACAGTATCAGGGGGACACCTCAAGATCTTCCGTTCTTACCTGACTTCGCCCGAAGTAATACAGCTATACTAGATCTATGGGTGTACAGTTGGAATAACTTCCACCGACTATCAGTACATGTATTTTCAGATTTCCTTTATGATCCTAATTCGTATACCATGCTTGTTTGGAAGCTATGGTGGCCTCCACTGCTGCTAGACACATGTGAAACGTCAGAGAACCCTTTCACCAGATGTGGCATCTCAAAGCTGGATTTTCCCAAAATTTAATTATGCACAAAATGGTTTAGTAAGACATGTCGCGCGGTATAGCAGTACCTACGCTGTTTTTGAAATAATGTAAAGAGTAAACCAACCTGTAAAGTAGCTAAGCCTCTAACTCAATATTATCCAACGTCTTCGACATTGAAAACACGAATTATTTGTCAATTTAAAGGACAATATTGGTGTCAGTCATTTTCACACATGTGATAGAACTGGTTAAACACGTTCCAAATATAATTTTAACACGTAGATCATCGCTACGATAGATGCGTAATCAAGGTTTCTACAAAAGGAAGTGACGAACACAAAAGGACAACACGAGTTATCCTTCTATATAACTGACTGAAGTAACGAGTGATAGATACACGGGCGAATTTCTGCTCACTAACAATTCCTTCGAAGATCAAAAGTTGATATGTGAGACTAAAGCGAGGATATCTTGACAATTCAAAAATGTAATTGAATGTCACTAGATAAGAGAACACGAGAAAAATAGAAACAGTCCGTACGTGTGTGTGAGAGAGAGAGAGAGAGAGAGAGAGAGAGAGAGAGAGATGGGGTTTAACGTCCACTCGACACAAACTAGGTCATTTCGGGACTAACATATGGTTTAATTTTTTTATTTATTTCAATAATTCGCTTGCGCGTAGGGGTCTTTAGCAGTGGGGGGAAACCGGAGGACCCGGAGAAAACCCACAAGGTTGGACACATGCATGTGTGTTTATTAATTCTATACGTAATAAAAACATGGTACTGCAAGGACTGTTATCGTTTTCTCTTTTCTAGTGACAGTCAATCTCTGTTTTGAATTGTCAGATATCCTCTCACAGTCTCATATAACAACTTTTGGTCTTCGAAGGAATTATTAGTGAGCAGAAATTCGCCCGTATATCTGTTATCACTCGTCACTTCAGTCAGTTATATAGAAGGATACTCGTGTTTTCCTTTTGCGGTCGTCACTTCCGTTTGTTGAAACCTTGATTACGCATCTATCGTAGCGATGATCGTTGTGTTAAAATTGTATTTGGAACGTGTTAAACCAGTTCTATCACATCTGTGATAATGACTGACACAAATATTGTCCTTTAAATCAACATTGATGTTGTGATCTTACCTGGAAAAGATGTGCTTCTGATATCAAATACTTAAGACAAAATAAACATTTTATCATTGGTACACGAATCGTGTACCATAATGCATTTCAGCACCATTTGTAACAAGGGACTCGAAGAACAACGGTAGACATAATTATTCCACAAGTCATGTCAAACGGTGACGGCATATTCTTATCTGGAAATAATCTGTGTAGACTGGAATAACCAGACGCTATAGATTGCCATTCGATTGAGACTTCTGGCGTGTTTCGCCGAACATACCTGATTTGAAATTATAGTAAAAACAGAAACGATTGAATGTAAATCAGTTTAGATACATTCATATTACATTATTATATGCGTTGCGACCCATTTGTGTCAATTTCTAGGTCCCAAATACTAGCGATTTAGCTCCTTTAAGATGTATTTACGGTGTTCCCAATGTCATCTTATATTTTACGCAAATCGTACCAAATAGTTCTTTAAATTCGTTCTATGACATTTGCATTTGTCAACAGAGGTATGTTTTATATCGACACAACCCTCGTGTAAATTTATTGCCTAAACTAACTTAGGCGAATTAGCGTGATTTTTAAAATTATTTGCGGACAGAAAAAGGTATAAAATATGGGTCTAGATAAAAATAATACTTTCAAGCTGCGCCGGTCAATAGTGTCACACTTTGGACGAACACTCAACGAACAACTTTGTCAAAGGTGAATATTTAATAATCCAGCATGGTCAGTGAAGGAACCGGAAGAGAGAGACACACTCGTTTACGCGAGTCAACAATACAAACATTCAGTACCATTCGACACTACTCGGTACTGGCGTGACTTCTCTTTTCCTTTAATTTACAGAAAACACATGTAAACATTATAAATGATCACAATAAAGTAATGAGTAAAATGTCTTTTAAGTCTCATAGTCTTTACGGTACGTTGGTGGTCTGCGAGTTCGTTGAGGACGAGACGGAATCAACTGATTATTTGGAAAAGGTGTTATCTCATTTTCAACTGTGCTGGGTTGAAAGGTTTCTGTCATATCAGAGTCAGAGGCTGCTAGCTCGACTGGGACTTCGGGCAAGACTGGCGTTACAGGTAACGTTGGTACATGTAAAGGTTGATATTCATTTATAGTACTAGTATCAGTTGTGACAGTATCTGTTTCATCCTCATCATTTTCATGTTGTGGAGGATGAGAGGGAACAATGTGCTCTGGTACTTTAAAGATGTCATGTAACTTGACTTTGTAAGACATGGAACGAAGCTGTGATCCTACAAACTTTCGAATAAAACACCAACCATTTTCTACACTCATAACAAGATAACGATCACGAGCGCCGGTCTTGTTTCCTTCAGAGCAAAGGTAAACCAAGTCGCCGATTTGAATGTTCATAGCTGAGGAAGGACACACGTGTTGGTTTAGGTTTTTGGAAACCATGATGATGGGCCATGATGATGTCTTGGTCCAAGACAGGAATTTGTTGATTAGAGAATTGGTTTCGGTGAGTCCACAGTTCTCTTGCAGACAATCCACGACCACGAATGCGCGAATTAAGTCGTGCAGTTGCAATAGTGAGGGGAGGGGAGTAACTGTACCACCTTTCGGTTCCTGACGGAGAAGTTCATTTTCTAATTCAGCGATGGCTTTCTCAGCAGTAGGATTTTTGTTGGGGTTCTTGGGGTAGCCAATTTTCAAACACAGATGGTATTGATTTAATACTGGATCGTTCTCTAATGCAATAAAGCCAGGAGCAGGATCAACTCGAACAACTGCATGGGGACCATCAAGAGGACGGAGTACAATGGCTAGTTGTAATAGACCATCACGTACAGAAACCTGTTGTTCATTTTCCAGTATACATGTGGCTGTATATGATGTAGTGGTTTCACGAAGAATAAGAATAAGTTGCCGGTTTCTCTTCATTACGTCGGCAGCCTTGTTTGAGGTGGGCATGAACACGGCGTAAATCAGGACAGTCATGTTGATCCAACCAGAACGTGTGGTAAAGGGTAACCGTTGACTACCATTCATGACGTCCTTAACAGAGATACTCCGTACCACTGAATTTTCCGTAGTATTAATGAAAAGACAGATCTGGCATGTTGGTTCTACACAAGGAAGGGCATTTCTACTGGCAAAATCAGATGGCACGTTGGCAGTACCTGCCAAGTGCCGAATGCTCACTTGGTATCTGCTGACAACCGAAAGGAAGGAAGTTACACGTGGGCTGGCGGAAAATTCACCACGACACAGACGTTCAAATGCTTGTACACACGGTTTACTGTCTGTGAGAAGGCAAGCATTATGGCTGGATTGGATGATGTATGGGCTAAAATGTTTGACTGCTGCTGCTGTACATAATGCCTCTATCTCACAGGGTAACCACGTTACCTGGTGTTTGCGAAGCTTAGCGCTGAAGAATCCAGATAATAACTGCTTTTCTGAACGGGTAACGTACAGAGTTGCACCAATGCCATGTTTTGATACAGAACCATCAGTGATTATTCATAGTTGATCGGTTGACCGAGGTAAAACGATGGATCGGTTGGTATGTAGGGACTGTTGAGCCTTGGTGAAGTGTAGTAAAAGTTCATCCGACCAAGTAAGTTTATCTTTGGACTGTAAACCTGTGATTGAGTCTTCGAGACGGGTAAGTATGTGAGAACAGTTAGGAATAACTCGGCTCAAGCCCTTATATGCGCCTAAAAATGACCGTAAACCACGAACAGTTGTAGGAGGTGGATATGACGAGAGCGTACTGATCCGGTGCTGACTAGCTGATATTGAACTTTTCGTCCATATCCAACCTAGTATGGTCGTAGTAGTAGGACAAATAACAGTCTTGGTAGGAGATAGCCGAAGATCACAAGAATTGAGCGCCGATAATGTCTTTTGAAAATTGGATAACAAGACCTCTATGGTGTTGCCGCCTATATACAAATCATCTGCTAGTTTCGCAATAACTCCACTCTGTAAGAGGTCACCAAGAACACGAGACATAAGCTCTTCAAGTGCTGTCTCGGAACCAGGCATACCCATAGCAGACCTGGTGTAAACACGAACTCCTTTGTATGGGGTAGCGACACCACAGTATTTCATCGATTCTTTTGATAGGGGAATCTGATAAAATGCATTTGTTAAGTCAGTTACAATGATATACTGCCAGGAAGCAATTGTGCGAAGGATAGATTCAACGTCCGGCATTAATGAAGGTTGAGACTTGCTGTATCGTCCAACGTCGGCAAAAGCGGTAACAAGGCGGTAACTACCGTTAGGTTTCTGTATTAAAAAGGAAGGGTTGAGATACTCTACTGACACACCAACATCTTCAGGACGACGAAACACCCCAGCTGCTTCCAGTTCATCAAATTTTTCCTGTAATGCTGTAAGTTTATCTCTAGCGTACTGCGGAACTCTGCCTTTTCTTTGTGGGGGCTGGACAGGACCCATGTTTACTACAGCTTGAAAATTACCAGCAGCACC